CTGGGTTCAAATTAAACATATATAGCTTCAAATCTCAATTTTTGTAATTCTAAGTGGACAGCTGTCAAATTCCCTCAGTTTCCTCATTTTCACTATAGTTACAATTATATATAAAATACATACATATGTGAATATATGATATATATTTCATAAATATTGTATTAAAATATATTTTTACAAATTTTCTAATATAGCAGGTGATATATAAATATAGTTATAGTTTCTTCATTGTGTTTATTACATATAAAATAAGGTTATGCATTTAGAAGCTACATAAATGACAATTGTTATTTGGTAAATGTGCTGAATATGTCCACGTGCTCTACAACAGGGATATAGAAATAAATGTTCATTTCCTATCCTAAGGAAATTCATAATATACAAGGGAAGTAGCCAGAACATTGTGAAGAGTGGAATAAGAGAGCTAAAAACAAGCCTTCAGGAGAACACAAATGGTGCACATTCACACTGACTAGGATGGCTCCCTGAAACAGAGCACCTTTTTGCTGAACGGAGAGACAGAAGATATTGAAGAACTTTACAAGCACAGGAGACAGCATATGCAACTCCACAGAGGCAGAGGGATCTGGCCTTTGCAGGGAATCAAAATAGGCCATTATGCCAGAGAGATAAAGTGTGGTGAAAGAGGAAACCCAGGGTGGGGGGCACAGGGAGCAGGTTCTAAATTTCTGCAGTGGGCTGGGTCTGCCTTCAAAGGGAGTGATTCATGTGGGAAACTAGGTCAGAGCTGCTTCTGGTGAAGGCCAGGATTAATGGCAATCTACGTGTTACTATCCTCATGGAAAAAAAGAATAACAGGACTAATAATAATAGTCCTCCTGCAGGTATGCTGTATGTTTCCAACTTAGTCGCTCATTTAATTACCTGCAGAAGACACAAGCACCAACATGATTTCTGCCTCCACCTATTTTTGTGATTCATCATGGGAATTCTGAGTAACAGGTCCTTGTCATTCTGAAACCTTACCTAAAGTTAGGCATTAAGGGAGACACGGTGGAGATGGCTGGTGCCACCAATACTCTTTGATAGCTATATCTTCTCCCCTTTTGGTTTCATTTTACCTGTTCTTCTTTATTTATTTTTTTATTTTTTTACCCTTCCTTCCAATCAAACTTTGATCCTCCTAAAAAGTCTTTGATGAGTCATTTCAATGTGATTTGACACTAATGAAGGTTTCCCACTGCAAATGATAAACTGAAAATCAGAATCAACATTTATTAAGCACCTCCTGTGTGTACTGTTTTCACAGCTGCTCTATCATTCCCATTTTATAGATTAGGAAAAGGAATATCAGAAATATCAAGTACTTTGTTTATCAATATTCATGTTCTCCTTTTCCTTCCTCCATTTCCTAGGCCACCCACATGGGGGTCACATGGTGAGGGCTCATCAATGGCATGTAAGTAGCGGTGACTGTCACCTCCAGCCCAAGGTGGTTAAAAGTGGGTGAGCCTTCTCTACACTCTTGCTTTTCCTTAATCACTTGGCTGAACTCGGGGGATCCAGTGCAAGACTCTGGGACTCTTGGAGAAGGCAAAGTCTATGTTGGAAGAACACTGATTTCCAAATGACTGTGGAAAAGTAAAGCACCCTCAACCTCATTTCACCTCCTCAACATACCACTGACCTACATTGGACTAGGACATGAGCCAGCAATGAAACTTTATTGTTTTATGTCACTATTAATATACATCTAGGGCAATATTTGTTCCAGTCAACTAATATTTTTGGAATGCTTTCTATAAAACAGTGTCATCAGTGCAATTCAGAGTATTATATGATAAATTCCAAGTGAGTGGCACACACAGACAAGGCATAGGTGATCAGAGTTTGGAGGGAGCATGAGTTTTGAAGGCTAGGCAGAACTTACATGGTGCCCTCAACCACACACAAGGCAAAGGCTTCTGTAATGGCCAAGATTCTGCCTCTGGAGGCAGGGATACGAGGTTTAATTCTAGATTTGCTCTTTACCAACTGAATGACTTTGTGGACCCCAAGCCTCAGTTCCCCCATCTGTAAAATAGAGCAAAAAATACCTATCTTCCAATGTTATTGGTTATTATAAAGATTAAATTCGGCCAGGCATGGTGGCTCACGCCTGTAATCCCAGCACTTTGGGAGGCCGAGATTTGTGGATCACGAGGTCAGGAGATCGAGACCATCCTGGCTAAGACGGTGAAACCCCGTCTCTACTAAAAATACAAAAAAACTAGCCGGGTGCGGTGGCGGGCGCCTGTAGTCCCAGCTACTTGAGAGGCTGAGGCAGGAGAATTGTGGGAACCCGGGAGGCAGAGCTTGCAGTGAGCCAAGATTGCGCCACCACACTCCAGCCTGGGCGATTGAGCAAGACTCGGTCTCAAAAAAAAAAAAAAAAAAAAGATTAAATTCAGGGAGTGGGGGTGAGGGGAGGGAGAGCATTAGGACAAATAGCTAATGCATGTGGGGCTTAAAACCTAGATGACGGGTTGATAGGTGCAGCCAACACCATGGTGGACATACACCTATGTAACAAACCTGCACTTTCTGCACTTGTATCCTAGAAATTAAAGTAAAATTTTTAAAAAAATTAAATGAAATAATGTGTATTAAGTAAATATAATGGGACATTCTTGATAAATAATAATTATTATCACTATTATCGGTGTTACAAATATAAGGAGAAGTTCAGTTTCTCACTGGCTTAGACCCAAATAAATCAAGTACCCATCTTGACCATAAGTATTTTCATCTATTGCTATTGGATAGTCACATGACTACAGCTACCTCATTTTATGTTTTTATTTTCTCTAAGAATAATCAAAAGCTGAATCTAAAGTTTATCACATAAAAAATTTTACCTACTTTGGACCTCAACTAATTCTGTCTTCTTACCTTGGATTTACAGTCTATTTCATTACAAAAAACAAACAAACAAACAAACAGTCATTTGGTGAGTGGGCCTGGTCCAGACTGCAGCTGTTTCTTCTCGGTGTGTACATTGTTATGCAGAGTGAGTGATTTTACTCTGTCACTTTAATTCATAAGATACTAGAGCGGACAGGGGCTTTGGAGGACATTAGATCCAACCTACCATTTTACATCTACAGAGGAGGAACCTGAGGCCCAAATGTTAGTGCATCACAGATGTCCACGAGTATGTTTTCTTTCTTTCTCTCCCAGACTTTAAGGGTTCTAGCAGCTTCACTAAATGGCCCCAGTCTCACCCACAAGGCTTGATAGAACCTCTGTTAATCAAATCGCATGAGAAATGAGGTGCTATAGCCAAATTTTCCAGATCCAGTAAATTAACAGAGAACATATTCTTTATATATATTTTCCCCCGATATACAGTAGTTCCCTTTTCCTGCCTTGTTAGGACAGTCTTGTGAACAAACTCAAGTGTGTCTTTTTTTTTTTTTTTTTTTTTTTTTTTTTTTTTTTGAGACGGAGTCTAGCTCTGTTGCCCAGACTGGAGTGCAGTGGCGCGATCTCGGCTCACTGCAAGCTCTGCCTCCCGGGTTCACGCCATTCTCCTGCCTCAGCCTCCGGAGTAGCTGGGACTACAGGCGCCCACAACCGCGCCCGGCTAATTTCTTTTTGTATTTTTAGTAGAGACGGGGTTTCACCGTGTTAGCCAGGATGGTCTCGATCTCCTGACCTCGTGATCCGCCCGCCTCGGCCTCCCAAAGTGCTGGGATTACAGGCTTGAGCCACCGCGCCCGGCCAAGTGTGTCTTTAGTTAGCAGTGAAAGGAACCTAGGGATCACTTAGTCCATCTTGTTCATTTTTCAGATGTAAACAAAAAGATTTTATAATTGTCATACAATGTAATCTTTACAATGATCTTTTAAAAATTTTATTTCCTCCATCATATAGATGAGAGAAGGAAAACTCCTAACTATTGAACGACCTCCTCTGGATCACAGAACTCATAATACAGACAGTGGCACAGGCACCAGGCCCACTTACCTGTCTCTCTGGGCTCACAGATTCCATTTCCCAGTTGGGTCTGGCCGTATAACTGAGTTCTCACCAGTGGAGTGTAAGCAGAAGGCAACTATGCCAGCTCCCACACATGTTCCTCCATGCTCACTCCCTTTCCAGCTGGCTAGAATGGAGATGAACCCCAGGGTGAACCTGGAAGCCATGAATAAAGATTCTGCAAGGATCAGATAAATAGAGCCTGAGTTCTTGAATCACTGCCAGAGGAGGATGGCCACCTCCTGGTCAATACTACTTGTTGTGGACTGTCTGTAATGAGAAATAAACTTCTCTTGTATTTGGTCCCTTGTAAACTTGGGGATTTGTGTGCTGAAGCAGCAAGTATGTCCTTAATGCATAGCTTGCTAACGGCAGAACTGCAGATACTTACTATGGGCAAGGCATTATGTTTGTGATAAAAGATAGGAATATGACTTCCAATAGTTTGGGTCCTTAAGAAGCATTAAGCACAGCTGGGTTCTGAGATATGGACAGAAACAGCATAATATGAAATAGAAATAGAAAAAGAAAGGTCTAAAGAAAGATAAATAGGAAAGAACCTAGGAATCCAGAGAAGAAATAAGTTGTGCTGTTATATAATAACAGGAGTGATTTTTGGGAGGAGGATGGGAATTTTGGACTGGGAGGATGGGTAGCATGCACAATCAGAACTCCTAGGAAACAAGAAAAAGCCTGGCACAGTGAGCTGTTTATTGGGATGGAAATGGGATACACAAACAAATGGAAGGGTAGGATAAAGCTCCATCACGAAAGATGCTAATGCCAAGTTAATAACTTTGAGTACTGTTTACAAGTTTGGATAAAGCTCCATCACGAAAGATGCTAATGCCAAGTTAATAACTTTGAGTACTGTTTACAAGTTTGGCTAATGCTTGTCACCAACGCCTGCTGGCTGAGAAATCTTGAAAATGAATGGCATGCCATGCCCTCAGAGTGTGACGACAAGCGCTGGATCTCAGAACACAGGGAGTTTTCATTTCTGAGAGCTGACTCCCTAGTCTGCGGTAGATAGAGAGCAGAGGTGGGGCTGGGAGTATGGAGAAACAGCATTCAGAATCGGCCCACACTGTCAAGTTTCCAGGCCTTGAACAAGGTTGGTAGGAAAATTATTTGATTAGCTGTTCAATCCTGTTCCATTTCTGCCTTGCTCGGGAGACGTATGTTGAGGGACTTTTTTTCTTCCAGAAGTACATATGGAAATGGCAAGGTTGGTGTTTGATGGTGTGACAGAGAAAGCCACACTGGGGAAATGGTGTGCTTTGAAATCAGGTCACTTAGAAAAAAAAATATATATATATATATATCCAGAAACGTCAAAGCTTAAATGAAGCTATCAATTTAGGGACTTTTCACAGCCTTACTTACTGGGTTCTCTTTCTAACTTAAAAACCAGGAAAGGCACTTTCTGAGTCTCTATCTCTGTAAAGTTTGTTTGAGTCTCTTTTATTATTTTTACGGTGCACACATTGATCTCAAGTTTTAAGTATCCTTTTTATCATTGTAGCTAGAAGCAAAAAAGCCACCCAGCTGTTCAGTCTGTTAGTGCCAAATGTGGTCTCTTCTGAACACTGTAATTCTCATACTACAAGATATCCCAAATGTACAGAAAGGTCAAGCAGAAAGAGATGATGACAACTCTGAATTCTCATGTCGTTTTAAAGATAAATCAGTTTGGTATGAGACCCTTCTTGGTAAGAGAAAATATTTATCATTCTACCCCAATTCATGTTAAAGTTCCCTACAGGGATTTCAATCCAATGTGCCTATTGTTTTAAGGAATAGTCACTGACACTACAACACTACATCATGTTTCTGTAGAGGGAAAGAGAAAGGAAAAAAAAAATAAAGCCAGTATTTATTTATCACATCCTACCTATCATTTGCTTATGTTATTATTTAGTTATCAAAACAACCATATGATATAGGAATCCCTTTTCCCAACCTTTACAGAATAGATATCAAAGTTCAGTTAACTTAAGGAACTTATTCAAGGTCATATAACAGTAAAGGATAGAGATATAAACAAGTTTATCCTGGCTTGAGAATTCATGTCAATAAGTTGCTTATAACCAAATATGCAATTGAATAGTAGAGATTTCATGAAAAGGCATCAGACGATAAAATAGGCCATATATATGCAAGTCTAAATAACACGGTATTAATCTCACTCATAAATACTGAATGAAAAGAATGTAATCAGTTGAAATTATCTCAAGAATGTATCTGGAAAAAGGTGAGATTTTAGGAGATTAGAAACTGCTCATTTTGGACACTATTAATTTGTAAACATCATTACAATATGAGTATACAGAATGTTATAATATTCTGCTGTGAAATCTACTATCATGCTGTTTTCTTATTGCACTTATTTCAAAAGGTCCTCTTTATAACTCATTGCTTTTAGGTCCTAATAATTCTAATTCAACATGATTCTTGACAGATTCATGAAATCATTCATACATACACAAATTTACCAAACCTTATGATATCCCCCTGGTTTGAAGATTGAGAGGTTCATGCTTTGCTCACAAGAGATTTTGTTGTCAAAATCTCTATACAAGGAGTTCAAAATTCATCACGTCAATACTCCTAGGTCTAGGACTGAGAAGAAGAAAGAGGGGCCAATATAGTCTCACAGTGAGAAGAAAACAAATAAATATACAGTCATAAAATAATGTAGCAAGTGCTATGCAGCAGGAAGTCCAGAGGTAGGCAGCCCTTGGAACCATTTTTCCTCCTAGGCCTCTGAGCCTGTGATGGGAAGGGCTGCCTTGAAGATCTCTGATATGCTCCAGAGATATTTTTTCCATTGTCTTGGTAATTCACATTTGGCTCCTCGTTATTATGCAAATTTCTGCAGCAGGCTTGAATTTCTCCTTAGAAAATGGGTTTGTCTTTTATATCGCATCATCAGGCTGCAAATTTTCCAAACTTTTATGCTTTACTTCCCTTTTAAACATAAGTTCCAATTTCAGATCACCTCTCTCAAGTTCAAAGTCCCACAGATACCAAGGGCATGGACAAAGTGCCACCAGTCTCTTTGCTAAAGAATAGCAAGAATGACCTTGGCTCCAGTTCCCAAGAAGTTCCTCATCTTCATCTGAGACCACCTCAGCCTGGACTTCATTGTCAGCACCACTATGAGAATTTTAATCAAAACCATTCAACGAGTCTCTAGGAAGTTCCAAACTTTCCCACATCTTCAGTCTTCTTCTGAGCCCTGCAAACTGTTTCAACCTCTATCCATTACCCAGTTCCAAAGTCACTTCCACATTTTCAAGTTATCTTTACAGCAGTGCCCCTCTCCCAGTATCAATTTACTGTATCAGTCTGTTTTCATACTGCTGTAAAGAAATACCCAAGACTGGGTTATTTATAAAGGAAAGAGGTTTAATTGACTCACAGTTCCACATGGCTGAGGAGGCCTCAGGAAACTTACAATCACGTTGGAAAGGAAAGCAGGCACCTTCTTCACAGGGTGGCAGAAGAGAGAGAAGAGAAAGGGTGAAGGGGGAAGAGCCCCTTATAAAAGCATCAGATCTCATGAGAACTCACTCACTTTCATGAGAACAGCATGAGGGAAACCACCCCTATGATCCAATTACCTCCCACGAGGTCCCCCCCTCAACACCTGGGGATCACAATTCAAGATGAGATTTGGGTGGAGACACAAAGCCTAACCATATCATTAGGTGTACAGGCTAGGTAAGGTATTGCAGGTCAAGGCAAAGTGTATTTCAAGGCTCAGAAAAGTGAGAGAATGTGTGGGGTTTTGTCCAATTTACTAGAGAGTGAATAGGTAAATAGAGGGCAGACCACTGAGGGTGAGGTTTGAACACCATAGGGTCCACCAGACATGTTGGAACTCCCCTTCTTTTCTCTAGGTTTTGCAGAATGGCACCCAGGCTGTTATAATACATACTTAAACTTTGCTTTCTCTTTAAAAGTACTTTCTATTCATCACTGTTTGGGCTCCTTCTGACAGAGGTCATTACCAGAGATTCAGACCTTTATTTACTCAATTCCCTGTTGTGGTTCTGCAAGGGAGGCTTTCTCGTTCCTCTCCAAAAACAGACATGCCTGTGAAGGTGGGTTACACTTCCGTTCTCTTAAGTCTGTCATAATAAAGACATTTCATCAAGTGCTAAAAGAAAGCCAGAATTTAGAATGTACTTTATGACTTTTGAGGGTTATGAGATGCTGAATGTGAGACACTGTAGCCAGTTGCTTAGGGAAATTGAAAACAAATTCTTCTCTAGAGAAATTAGAAAACCAGGTCAATGCCTCATTGCATAGTCCTGCTGGAAGACAAGAATTAAGGCTGAATACATTGTCAAGGTCATTTCAGATCCTATTATTCTGCTTCTCTGGTGATAATGATAATAAAAATAGCACTTTTTATTTGTGACTCACATAATTTTCAGAACTCTTTCACCTATGATCTCCTCTGAACAGCTGATGAGGAATTCATGCCATCAACCTGGAGGACAACTTGGAGGACCAAGTGCTCCCAACCAGACCTCAAGGTTAAAAAGAATTTCAGATGGGAGGTATAAGATATTGACTAACTTACGATATATCCTTTTGTCTTTTATACCAAAGATTATTTCATAGATGTTAGCTGGCCTCCATATTTCTAAACGTAAAATTTAGGAATATTCCCAGAACATCCTACTCTTCCTGTATAGTCCTTTATAATTATTTGTTTTTAAAAAAGCCATCTAAATTTTCAGTTCATTTATGCCTTGGAGAAAGGAGTTTTATAATTACTGTCTTCCCTAATATTGTTTCAATTTTTGTTTCACCTATACAAAGTTTTCTAAATGTAAGCAGTACTCCATAGTTAATTGTGACATCACTATTAACAAAGATGTGTTTCAGAAACATACCCAACTGAGAGAAACATAGTAATCAGAGACAGAAATGATCTGAAAGACTTGGAGGAACTCTGCGGAAAACAATGAATACAACGAAGAACTGGAAAGCATAAAATATGTGTGAGCTACAGGGTAGAGAGAAAAGAGGTCAAGACTTAGGCAAAGTCATCTTTGCCCAAACTGTATTCTGTGGAACCCATTCTGCTACATGTTCTCAGAAGAAGAGTAGGGTCTTATGATCAGGTAAGTTGAATGTATCCCCTTTGATGGTAGGCATGTTAGCATAACCAAGCCTCTGAGAAGTCTGTAATAAAGAAAGTTGCAAAACTTTATTTAATCCAGAGACCTTCAAACATTTTGACAGCAGATACTTTTTTTCCCCTCATATAGCTTTGGATCAGGGTTCCATGAAATACACTTTGAGAAATGCTGCTTTGAAGTTAGGGAAAGTGAGAGAGAGGCCGGCCTAAATTTTTGAAGAAAAGGAGACCTACCAGCAGTGCTATCAAATATAAAAGGTTATTTTGCAATTTCTTTCTCAGAAATCTTTCAAAAATAAAACAACAAGCATGGTGAAGTGTTTGGAGAGAGATGTATTTCTGTCTTCAACTTACTTTGAAATGTATCAAAAACAGCTGAATTAATTAATTGACAGAGGGATGGATACATACATGATCAAACAAGTATAATAAAATGATAATTATAGAATCTAGGTGATAGGTACATTGAGAATTTACTGTACATTTTTTATAATTTTTCTGAATATTTGAATGAATTTCAGGTAACGTTGAAAAAGAATAGAATATACATCCAACCAACACTTGCATGAAGTATGGCTTAGAAGGAGGTAGAAAGACTAGTTGGATTTTCAGCTTGTCATGATAGTTTCTATCAGTTGACCATGGGCTAAGTATTAAGCTGGATATATCACGTTCATATGTTATCTAATTTATTATTCAAACCAATACCAACGGAAGTTTGGGCATCAACACTTTAATAATGAGACAAATGAGATTCAGTGAGGCTAAGTATCATGACAAAATCTGCCCTTGTTGAACCATGTGTCAATGCTATGTGTAGAAGGTGCCAAAATGAGCATTTCCTTCCTCTCATCCCATTCCCCATACAAGAAATTCTGGCAATGCCCACAGGAAATTTTTCCCTTCCTCCAACCTCCTCTCCTTCTTACTTTTCAGCCTTCTTTTGTAGTTTGGTGGGACTAAGCAGTTGTGGTGAGAAGCAGAAAAGTAGATGTGAGTTATCTCATCCAGAAAGAGCCAATACTTATTGACCAATGAGGAGGAATGGGAATGAAAGGAAAGAAGGAAAGGAAGCAAAGAGAAGAAGCTGTGGTGGAAACGTGTGAATATGGTAGAGAAGGAGATGGAAATGAGGAAGAAAGAAAAGGCTTCAAAACAGGCTGGGGACCCAGTTGAGTGCAGGGGGAATAGACGAAAATAACTTTTTAAATGCTGCAGTGGCATATATTAATAAATTACATATTTACTATTCTTTGAGGGATACAGTATTGAAGTTACTTTTATTTCTTTGCAAGAACAATATTTCTTTGAATGTGATATTTCTGTGCACTATATTTTTAAAAATATGCATAGAAGGCCGGGCCTGGTGGCTCATGCCTGTAATCCCAGCACTTTGAGAAGCCGAGGTGGGTGGATTACCTGAGGTCAGGAGTTCAAGACCAGCCTGGCCGACATGAGGAAACCCCGTCTCTACTAAAAAGTACAAAAATTAGCCAGGAGTGGTGGCAGGTGCCTGTAATCCCAGCTACTCAGGAGGCTGAGACAGGAGAATTGCTTGAACCTGGGAGGCCGAGGTTGCAGTGAACCGAGATCACGCCATTGCACTCCAGCCTGGATGACAAAAGAGAAACTCCATCTCAAAAAAAAAAGCATAGGAAACAGATTGCTGTTTCCGCATAAACCTCGGCAGGAAGCATATCTCACATTGATCCACTTCACTGGGGTCATCAACTTTCTTGGATGCCAATGGGTTGAATGTTGGGAAAGACACGCAGTGGTATGGAACAGACATCCTCCTTCTCTTCTTGGTAATGTGTGAACTTAGGTAAGTTACTGAGCTGCTCTGACTGTCAGCACCATTATGCCAATCAAATGGTCTTGACTGCGGAGATCTTTGACTACATAATTATGGGGATTCTAGAATGGACATCAATGGGCAACCCACTGAAATGCTTCTTGAAATGTGATGAAAAATCTCTAGGTCAGGAGAAGAGAGGCCTGACATAAGCCATTAAGCAAGAAGATTAGGTATGGGTTTAGTTTCGTCTGCTTCAGCTTTGCAGCCCCACAAAATGAGTCAGTCTTTAGCCCAGCTAATGAAAGTCTTTAATTTCAGATCTTTACACTGAGCCAGGAATTTAGGACTGTGTACTTAGTATTTTCTTTCTCTATTCACTTCCATTAGGAGCCACCACCCATTCATACATCTTAGAATTTCTTATACCAGGTTCTACGGCAAGGGACCATGTGGTCCCCATACCTCATCTTCACTGGGGGTTTTATTACAGTTGACGATGCATGATAATTGGATTAATTGTTTTGCCAGTCTCTGTCTTAGGTTGCCAGAGTCCCATTCCTCGGCAAGAACTGGATTTTCGCTATTCATAGCCCTAAGTAAACCAGACAACCAATGCCAATTTTTCCAGTATCCTGAGGGTCTGCTGCTATAACCACACCACTTCTGGTATTGACAAATCCGGGTTTTTCAGTCAAGAAGATGATTCTGAGGAATCTACATAGGAAACAAATTGACCAGAAGCATATCGGATAAGATAGGGTTTCTAGAGAAGATAGAGAACCAGACTCAGGAGTTACATAACTAAGAAAAATGTAAGCCACAGAACTGGTTCCAGGCTGCCACTTCCTCTGGGTGGACACAAAGCTGGACTCGGGATGCTGCTACCAGAAACCCTTCTGTGTCACCTCTGTGAGCAGGTGTTACTTTCTGTCTCTACCTATAGCCAGATAAGAGTCAGTATCGTCCCTGCCTTGAGGGACCACTAGTTTCTCATCCAAAGTCAAGGGACAGTTCTGAATGAAGGAGCCTAGGTCATTTGCTGTCCTAGGGTGCCTCACCCAGAAGCAGGCTCTGAGATAAGTGTTAGTATAGAAGTGACTTATTTTAAAAGGGCTTAATAATGTATGATATGAAAAAATACAATATACATTATAACAAATAACATAGTCTAGCCCAGATTTAATTTGTATATTTGGGAATCAGTGCAGTAGAGCAGAAAGCTTTACTACAGTGAGAGCATCTTGGGCCTAGATGTGGACATTAACCAGCAGCACACTTTTATTTAAGTAAGAGTGCCAGAAAAACAAAACAGAACTTTCAATTAATTTTATATTCCAGATATTTTAACAACAAAATAGTGTTCGTATTTTTAATTTTTTAGCTTTTAGTTTATTGCATGGGACCTGCATATACTGAAAGTTATCCATCATTTTTTAAAACTGTGCAGGATACTTAAAGCTATCAACCCTCAAATTTAACTGGGCTTTCCTTAATTTATTTACTAAAGTTGGCAACCCTTTATTTATGTCACTTAACTTCTCTGATCCTTAATTTCCTCAGCTGTGAAATGGTCTGATAGCACATTAGTCCACAGGAGACACTCAGGCAGTAGTTGTGACTTTTACTTTTCTAACAGTTTACTCCTAATGCATATGGGGCAAGATCACATCTTGAAAGCACAGAGTTAAGGTGCTTTATATTTCCTTCACTTTCTGAAACATGAGCCAGATCAATTGTTCCTTGATCAGATAGAAACCTGTAAGGCATGGATGGGTTGTCATTTAATGCATTGTCTGTGTTCCAGCTGGCTACCTCCCCAGCTGGCCAGCGCACATTATTCCCTGGGTTCAACTTTGCTCCCGGCTTGCAGGAGGCAGCTAATATCCAAGTCGGGCTGCTTGGCTGGTGCATTCTTCCCAACGACTTCCCCTCCCCTTGCCTCTTCTATCTATGACATCAAAAAAAAAAAAAAAAATCACAGCCTCTTCTTTACCAAGCAGCTGCTTCCCCTAGGACTTACTGTCTCTCAGGCTAGAGTTCCTATTGGGAAACCCATAAAAAGAGATGTTTAGACACATGGGGTATTATAGTAACCACAGAACTCTGAATATTTAAGTTGGAAGAATAATTTATTAGGCTTATTACTTTTCAAAATATGTCTGTTATAGCATTTCCAGGGATTTGGGAAACAAAGGGGAAGGCAATATCATGTGCTTGGTCTTTGATCTTCAAATGAAACCCACTTCCTTGCAGTGGAGTCTGTGAAATGCTTTCCACAGATTTTCACTTGGTCTTCATGGTAACTGGGAGGAGAGTCCCCTATAGCATTTTCTGCTATGTTCTCTCTCATCTTGGTCTTTTCTGCAAGACTACCTAATGATAAGGGTGAGAGCCTGGGCTTTTCGTAAAAATATGACTCAGAATCTCCTAAGGAAATTAAGTTCACAGCTACTAGAAGAGGTCCTGCATAGGAGCTATTCACTTTCTGTGGGTGTCGACCCCTAAATTCTTTTTGTGTTTATTCATGCAACAATTACTTGTTGAGCTATGTCTTAGTTTGGAGTATCCAGCATCAGATGCAGAGATCAGAGTGTGTATGAAAATGATCAATCAGAGCTCCCATGGAGGGATGCATGGTCTATTCCTGACCCAGCTTCTGCCCTTCCAGACCCACTTCCACATCAATGGTGAGGACAGGCTGCTTGTGGGCCAGCAGTTGAAGACAGTGGGCACCCATATAGGCCCTTTCCTATGGGACACGGGATTCCTCAAGTGAGTGACTTAGGCTCAAGGAGTCTCATCAGCCTGGTCAGAACTTTCTTAGGACTGCACTGCAATCCATGACTCTTCCAGCCCAATCCTCCTTCCTTTCTACCTCCTCGCAAAGGCCAGATCAGCATCACAGTCTGAAGACTCCCTGCCTACCCCTCACCCTCCTGTTTACCCAACACACATATTTCCCCCAATGGGTTCCTTACACATTTGATGTTCTTTTGGCATTTCTTCTCAGAAGACCCAAACTAATACAAGATGCCATCCCAAAAGCACAGTGAGGGAGTGGGGAAGAGAGGCAGGGAAGAAGAGAGAGCTGACAGAGAGTGTTGACAAGGCTACCTCTGTGGGGAATTTGAGGTTCAGACTTCCCCAGAACCTTCTGAGAAACTGAATGGAACTCATTTCAGAATTCTATCCCTAAGCAGGAAGAAACCTGGAGTATTTATTCACAACTCCTGTCCCTCCATGAGTGAGGCACTCCCGGGCATTAACTGTCTTGCACTCCCTGGCTTGCTACATCACCTTGTCAGGGGTGACCCTAGCAATGGGCCAGGAAGTCTGACTCCAGAGCCTAAATTCTTAATCACTAAGCCATGCCCCTCAAATTTATTACATTTGAAAGCTTGAATTTAAAACTAACATAGTATCTATCAGCTACTTTTTTTTTTGTCCCCAATTAAGGACAATTTGGCAATAAGCATCTTTCTTACTAAAATATTTTATACTAGTAGAGTTGTCAATCTA